GTTTTGCCATTGCCTTCTTCTGTGTGTGTGAATGGAGTAATTGTTGGGATGCCACGGAGGAAAACTCCGTGTTGCCTAGACCACGGCCTTGCCCAACACAAGTTATAAATTCGGGCACCGCCGGGAATCGAACCCGAGACCCCAGGATTACAAGGCCAGCGTTCTAACCGCTAGACCACCGTGGCTTCATATCACTTGATACCTGAGTAAAAATATTGCATAAATTGCATATCACAGTTTTCTGATATCTGCTATTTATATACAGAAACATACGTAGAGCAAGTTTAAAATATTTCAAACTTGAAACAGAATTTTCTGTCTTACTCAGGAAAGAAGTAGAACACTTTATTCCTTTCCTTTACAGCACAACATAAAACTATTAATCTACTTCAGTACAGCCAACGCCTACAGAGGTTTGTAATAACAGCACCTGAGTGAAAACGTCGTATGTAACCCTAGGGCGAACATAAATATGAGATGTTATGATATTCAGTTAATATATTTAAATTATTTGATAGCATGCCTTTGGCAGTCGTAACAACAACAACACTAGTTCTCCGGTCTGTTTGTTTGTTTGTGGGTTTAAAGGCGCGTCAGCTTCTACCTAAAACAGCCGATTCACAAAGAAGTGTGATTAATCTGTATTATTTGTTCGCATTATGTTTCTTCACGAGCAATTATTTCGTATTTGAAACATAATTTCAGACGTTTTTTGTGTATAATTACCAAATATATCGCAGAGGACTTTTAACACTTTGAGTATTATAATTAACGTTTAATAAACTTGTAGAACAAATCTTCGACTAAATTGTTACATGTGGAAAGTTACTATCTATTGGCGGTACGGCCGGGGTTCGATCTCTGGTAGTGGCAGTAATTTCTTTCTTCAGTAATTCGTCCAGACTAACTCTGCACCCAGAATAGTTTCTTGTGCATTGGGTTCAAAGGACTATATCTCAGGTGGTAAAATGACCGGTGATTGAAGTTACCCACTTACCCCCACATAGGACCGAGGACGATAAGAATATGTGGAGGGCAATGCTTAAGCATACGGAAGTACTTTGAATGTACCTTTACCCTTTATACACTTTTAAGTCAACTGTCTGCTGCATACGCACAATGCATATTTCAAAGGTTATGAAAAGACCATGAAACTCAAAGCGACAAAGAGATTGTTCAGATGTTATGCACCGTCATTTGACGTTACGTAACTCCGTAAAATAAGCATTATATTGTTCGCTATTCTTTAGCTGTATAGAACTTTCTACAGTTACACTGAGGAACAACAATACGTAATGTTTATTTTAAATTTTTTTAATTCAGTGTTGATTCTTAGATGCCTTGTTACGTCTTTCCTTTATACAATTGTATCCTATAAACAAGTGTTTCTAAATATATTTGGAAATGTTACTACGCCTGTGTTATGTATATTATTCGTATTTTAGTGTTTTAATTTTAGAATTATAGCAAGGAATTATAATTTCCAGGGCAAAGGTCACTACTGAAATAAATTATAAACCTATAAAATGTAATCCATATTACTACTGTTTTATTAAGATCCATTCAAATGCTACTCCTCTCTGCTCCTTGGTATCCCAACTGCAGATTTTTAAAGCATAAACTTCCAAAACCTTGTAAGAATATTTTCTCGCAGCCAATTTATTTTAACCCCCCCCCCCTCATTTGATCATCGTACCTTGACACAACTAACTGAAAATTATGCCACGTATAAAACTTTCTTCTAGATATTGAACACTAACAAGAGCATATATTGAATTTCAATTAATTTTTCATGTTATCTGTTTCTTTTTACGTGCTTCAAACATATGTCCCGGGTCAGAAATACAGGGTGAATCAGAAATTTGTTTACAACCTTCGTGTGCTTGTTCCAGGATCAAATGTAAGAAAAAATGTTCCTATGAACATGGGGTCGCAAATGTTCCATTTTCGAAATAATATCCAAAAATAAGTTTCAATTAATTGACTTTATACCAAAGTGAATCCAGCTTCCAGCAAAGATTTTCAGGAATTTTGGGGCAGGAAATGCTTATTGGTCCACACATGCTTCCATC